CTAACCGCCTCCCGGTTAGCTCAATTGGTAGAGCGCCGGACTGTTGTGCGGGAGGTCGTGAGTTCAAATCCGGCCGGACCAACACTCAGGGTCTTTAAATAACTGAGAAGAAAGTGCTGCCTTTGTAATAATATCTGCAAATGGTTAGACTTTCTAGTCTTCTCGGATAGGGACGATAAATGGAGGTCCCGTCTCACAAGCCCTTGTATGTGATAAAAAATTTGTGGGACGTTAAAGAACCCACACACTGTTCGAAAAGAGTAGGGCACGTAGTGCCCGGTGTTGTGGTCTATCTTTGTGTATTGTCTGTCAAATTGATGGGGGGTACTGCACCTTTGAATATTGTATAGAAAGGGCGCAATATAAATAAGTAATTCATTCATTCATTCATTCATATAGAGACTTTGTATGCTTGGAGTAAAATATGTATGGAAATATGGCTTAAGAAACATAGATCAGAGAAAATTCAATCATCTTTTGAAAAACATTGCCATGTCTAGGTCCGAACATCATCATTCACGTTGCTCTATGATGGGTACAAGGTTTTCATGGGAAAAATATTACCTTTATTTTGCTAAACCGCTAGGTGTTTGCAGTGTGATCAGAGGCCTTCTTAGAGTAATAACAAGCTATGAGTCGAGGTATTTCTAGATAATGACATTGATTTGGCTTTAATGTTTCATTTTCCCTCACCAAACACAAAATAAAGGCTTTATGTCAAGACTTTGGTCTGTTTATACCATGTTATTATGCTCAAAATTCCATTTTGCTTGGCCTTAGAGAGGCATGGAGAGTTTGTGCCAAAAGCTTAGCAAACCAAGCTTAACAAGCCAAATTTTTCTCAAGTGATTTTGATAAATAGGTCACTAAAGTACATACTAGATTTGGTATGAAAGTTATGCAGGATGGCAGGTGAATGTTATGGTTTTTTGAAAAATGGCAATTTTAGGTAGTGATTTTGACCTCAAATTTGACCTAACTTTAGCCCTTGGCCCCTCCCTGTATAATCGCTTGAGAACAAAGTTACATTTATGAAGTAAAAGCTCCACTATAGTAGAGTCCATGGTCAAATTCATTTGGCAGCACAACTTTCCAATGGAGTTTTGTAGCACTTTCAAAATGCCACCTAGAACGATGAATTTTTGGTGCTCTATAGGCCACAAATGGGACCCCTCCTGAAACTCCAAAACAAACGGTCAGAGAAGTGAGCCAAAGTGAATTTTGAAATATCTTATCGCACTCAACTTTTGTGCCAAGTTTCAGCCAAATCGGTTGGCTACCACTTTTGGCTTCGGGAACACTTTCTCAGAGAGGGACACTAAGCCAGTGACTAAGCCAGTGATCCCAAAAGTATGTTTCGTCTCAACTATATGTCCGTATTTTTAATCCACGCCGTCTTTCTGTTTCGACCCTTCGCAGGCTGTGTTAAAACCGTCCCTACCCTAAAAAACGAAAGAGAAAAAGGAATCTGATAGGGGAGGATTCACTTTGTTTCAGAATTTTTTTTCTGAAGCTCAAGGGACTGCTGCAAATCGCTGCCTGCTCAGACTACTTGATGTAAAACTACATAGCCATCCAAACGCTCAAGCAGGTTATGCAACCATGCTTTTCCAAGCGGGTTTTTAAAATCTGTACGAAAAGAATTAAGCAACTCTGCAGCATTTCTGGTCGTGTGAGAAAAGAAACCTTCATCATTCAAAAAACTGAATACAGAAAAGTGCAAACGCGTCATCGTGTTCGATATAGTCAAGACAAAGACAAATTGGGTTTGCATTGCAATACTCGCCTATTAAATCTTGCTTTCCTCGCGATACATCAACTTCTACTTTAGACAGAGATATTCTCGTAACTCTCCGCAAAGAAGGTCCCGCACTATATTCTCTGCGAATAATTTGTGTCTTGCTTAACCATTTATTCTGATCGGGAGAAATCTGTTAATTAATTCATTTTGCTCAATTCCGAGCAAAAGTTTGCGTTATTACACCAGAGAGGCGTGTTTTCTGTATGTTTTCACTATCCCAAACCTATCGAATTTTTTTCGCTGTTTTTAAATCCGGATGCATCGTCTCCTTTTAAACAAAAAAAACTTGGTGCACCGCCGCTTTGTTGCTGTTGCATTGTTAATTGTTATGAGCCATTGTCATCACCCTTATTTGGCCGCATGCAATCGATTTCGCAGTTTTCTTAGATTACTTGAATTGAGCTCTTGGCTTGATTAAAAATATTAGTGAAAGATTAAAAAAAGGCGTGTTACTGAGTCTCTCTGTGTAAAAGTTTCTTCCAATGAGCAACACTTGAAACAGTTGCCCCCCTAAAACTTTTGTCTGTTTGGTGTCACTTAACCGGTAGGACAACAAGAACTTGCAAATGATAACCATGCATGCAAAAAGATGTATTACTGAGAAATAATAAAAGCATAGTTTGATTATTACTGGAGTGTAGAGGCTAGAGAAACTGTGAATTTTTCGAGCAAGCCCCTACCCGCTGAATTGGTTTTTCTTTTTTTTTTTTTTTAACAAAAAAGAGAAGCGAAAGAAAGAAACCAGATTAAGTGTTAGGTAATATAGTATTTCTACCAGACTACGTAACAAAGGTATTAGGTTTCTCGTGAAGTTTCTTACGGTGTTATTTTGACAGCAATAACGTTTCACTTCTTTGGCAAAAGAGAATGTTTTAAGGTCTTTTAAATAATGAGAAATGTCCTGCCTGAGATGGAAGCATTTGTTGGTCTATGTTGGTTCGAGGTTTAAAGAAACTTTGCTTTGACGTATGCATTCTATTGCGTTTATTTCGACTAATGCAAGATGAAAAATGTTATCAAATACACTTGATGAAAGCCCTTTATGGCATAAAGGGAGCAAGTATCTAAAAAAACTGTACGTGTTGCTGCGTCGGTGGGGGTATTACCTGATAATTTGGTCAGTTATCGCAAATGAGCCGGCTGTAAATTGGCCACCGTCTTAATTAAAGGAGCTTCTGATGCTGACATTTCGAACATTAGACCTTCGTCAGAGCGACTGCATAACATTTAGGGCATGGGGACGATATCTGGAAGAATTTAGTTTGGGAGGGCACACAAGATCGATGCACGTGTCAATTTGCTGCATTTCTAATAGAAAACTTGTTATCTGTACATGTCGTCTAAATTCTATTGTTGTCAGTTCCTTTTGTTCGCAACAAAGCCAAAGTAGACAGAACAACCAGAGGTTCTTATTTCATTTTACTGTGGCCTAGAAATCGCTCGCAAACGAAGAAAGTTTACAACAAAAATTGAAGCAGTTATAACAATAGTAAATAATGTAATATCTGAGCTATCATTTCATGATATCCTTTTAGAATTATTTCTCGATAATTTGGTAATATCAACCAAGTTGAAATTGTAAATTGGCCACCGTAAAGAGTTAAAAAGCTGACGTTTCGAGCGTTAGCCATTCGTCAGAGCGAATGGAGGAATTGTGGGTTGTGTGTGGGTTTCTATGCAGAAAGTGAAGCCACGTTATTGGTGGGGGCATGGCGACGAGAAAAACCCGAATAACTTATTAGAATGAAAAGCGTTCGTTGATACCTCTGGGATTAAGAGTGCCGATTTGGAAGATTGAACTTTTGTTCGAGAGTTTTGCGGCTTTCGTGCTACCTAAATGTATGGAAATACCGCAGATTGCCATATATTGCTTAGAATGATTAGGTAGATTTAAGTGTCTAGCGACAGGTTTTGATGCGTCCTTGTCATTCCTTTCTGCGTCGAGAAGGTGTTCTCGGAATCGGTCACCGGTCGGTCGGTCTCGATAGCAAAATTTGTTCAATTGTCAGAATTCTCCAACACTGAATCCGGTTTAATCTAGGTAGTTAGGGGATATAGCGAGTATTCTTAGTCTTAAAATACTGACCCTCTTATACTAGCTTTAGCGGGTCAGCCAATGTAATATTTTTGATAATCGGAAAAATTGAATAAAAGTGTGTGAAGTGGACCGTGAAGTTTACCTCACAAGTTTCTGACCTTGACCTTCATAACAGCTGAGTTGTAATCTGGAGGCTGTTCACCGTCACTTCACAATAAAACCAGAGCCAGCTATCATCAAGTGTTAACTAACCCTGATGACCTTGGGTTACTTTCACCTTACGAAAGTGGGCAATGGTCACATAATAATTAAGAAACTTGCTCATCATAACTGTGTAGACATTTAACACCTTAGCAAAAATTTTGCGAGGAACACACAACGCCCTCTCTACCTCAAGACTCATTCGTTTAGATTAAATAAGAAACCAAAAAAAAAAAAAAAATGTATACAAATCGCAACGTCAATTTGCTAATTCCACTTACTCTGTCGGGACACCGGGTTACATGATGCCTAAGTTCATGCCTCAGCATGACATGTTTTGCGTTGAAAGGACAGTTAACAAAGTCTTTATCGGGATGATTCCGCCTGCACTTCATAAGATGGTGTTGAAACCTCTTCGCTTTTATTCTGTGTACTTCGTCGTAAGGACAAACCATAAGTTTATCTGGATCCCAGCGAGACCAATCCTCTGGAGCAGACCAAGACATCTGTGATTTCGATTTGGTAAAACAACAATAACATTAGGTGTTTGCAACACAGATTCGCAGGACTAACAGATGTGTTTTACGAAGGATGTAGGAAGCAGATACCGCTGGCTAGTGGGTCAGCGGAGCTTTTAAAATACATATCTAAAATTTATTCCGTGTAATCTTCGCAAAAAGTATTATCGTTCCCAGTGTTCCCACTGAGCTCAGTTTCCGCGGTCTTCGGCATATTCGTTGCGTCTCCACGCGGACATAGCCAGGGGATCACAAAGGATAAGAGACGTTCCTCTCCCGTTTGCATACGTTCACATGAAAAATGTCAACTCGAGCCCTGGATTGCTCGCTGCGTCGTGTTCTAAGGCAATAAGCTGTTAATGACTGGCCCCACTGAAACAGTGCAGTGAAGTTTTTTCCCGTGGAGACCCTCAACATTCCCGAAATGTTTCCAAGGGGATCATTAAGGCGATTTCAGGGTCGAGGGAGGCCAGTGAGTATTTTGGTGCAAACCTGTACTTTCCAACTCAAAAGTAGAACAATAACAGCTCTGGAAAAATAAATAATTTCTTGACGCGGGGTTCTCACAAATTTGCAGCGATTATAAAGTACTCGACCTGCAGTTAAATGCTGGTCGAAATTTTAAGTTGTTGCTTCCCAAGGGATTTTGTGAGTTGAGTTAACTTAGTGAGTTTTGACCTACGGCACGTGCTACGTTCTCCTCAGTTTAATCAGAAAACCATTTGAATGGGGAGGTATAGCAAGAAACTTTCACGGAAACCTTACGAAATACCGGGTGTTAGCTCTGCGATGAACTGACATCCCATTCAGCGGAAGGGGGGGAGGAGGGGGGAGAAGGGAGAGTAATACTCCTGATGAGTTCCGGTAAAGTGAACCTTTTTGGAGATATCCCATCCCCCTCGAATAAATTCTTCCCACGGGTCTCTCCCCTCACCACCCCATGGAACCATGGCTGGCTCATGGATGCCAATAATAAATTGAATTTGTAATTTTTAAATTTTTTTTAATTTTCATCGATTTTTCTGAAATCATAATTTAAAGTAGGTCATTCCTTTGTTTTGAAACTTCTTGGATCATCAAAACGCGTGAAAAACTTCAATAGTTTGGGTTTTGACTTTCAACAGTCATTTGCTCTGACAAAGAACTAACGCTCTCAACGGCTGCTTTAGTGACTCTTTACACCATTAACACTATTATTAGTAAATTAACCCACTATAAACTCAGTTGACAAAACTAAATTATCTTGTAACACACTCCACCGACGCAGCACCACACATCGAAACTCATCACCTTCATTCAATTTTCAACCGGGGTTATTTCCGGACTTTGATTGGTTCTTCCCAATGAAATCCTCATTTGATTAACGGTAACACCCCTTGCTTGCCCTTCAGTTCTGACGGGTATAATCTGTTCCACACTATCAAGGCAAAGCAAACGTTTGTATTCCTGTCTGAAATTTCTGTTCAGGCTCCATAAATAATTGGGTTGATAGAACTTGACATGGTCGCCGTAATTGAATATAACAAGTACACCTGTCTTGGTTGATTAGAGCCATTTCTAACAAAGTCAAGGGTTTCTATAACTATACCAGGCACGAAACAGATGACATTCGCGAGTACCATGACCAGGAGAATTCTGGAAACTTTTATTTCTTCCACATTTGCTCTGGTATGGACTCCGCTAGAGTTTTTATGCGCGCGCACCGTCAGAAATATCCTAAAACTGCAGTAAGATAAAACACTCATAGTGATACCTCCAAAAATCAAAATCAAAGTTATAAAAAATGGTTCTTTGCCGTCTTGGTTACAATATGTTTTTCCAGGATGAAAGCTGTATGTATGCCCGGTAGCAACATAAGGCAACTGAGCCAAGAAGGCAATCATCCACGCGGCTAATAACATTAATGAAGTCCTCCGCGCTGTGAAAAGTCGTCGGTAATCGTTCGGTTTCACGATATGGTAAAATCTGTCGAGTGACACCAGCGCTAGGGTTTCAGATGAGGCGAAGGCAACGGCATTACCAAGATATCCTTTGAATTGACACATTGCATGATCGAAAGACCATTCACTTCTTATCAAAACTGATGTATTCAAAGGGATTGCCGGCATAACCATTAACATATCTGATAGTGCCAGTGATACGATGAATTTGTTCGGAATTGTTCGTAGCCTGGGCGATCGTAGAGCCACCACTAACGTCAGCAAGTTACCGAGAAAAGCCACCGTTGTGACCAAAAACATTACGAGGGTTTCTATCACTACAAGATATGTCTCCCTTGATTTTAGATCGCGGTCAAGTCTTTTCAAGTCATCCATTTTTTGGGTATTCGTATATGAGATCCAACCCCCCTTTTTTGCACCTGGACTGAGTATTCATTTCCTTATATTACCTAATGTCAAAGAAACATGACCATCATGAAAAATAAAGAAGAGGCTATAGGCGAAGGAACAATGAGATAAATAAATCTCATCGAGTAATACTTAGTAATTTCAAAGGGATCTTAAGGTTGTCTAGTGTCTTATTGTATGTCCAAACAAGGAAAAAGATAGCCTACTTTAATTAAGTAGACAGACTTGACGGTGCCAAAAGGATTCTGGTTGATTATGCAGTAAGATGAACAGCCACTTTATTTTTTTTGAAACGCAGGCCAAGCTACGAATTAGCAACCTCTTTTAATGTATTTACACACATCGGCATAATTGATACTGAGAGTAAATACTGGTGATAAGTGCATAACCTTGCCCACCAGCGAATTGTGCGATATATAATCCACTTGACAGGGCATCGGGCGGAAAATCCGCTTATATGTCTGATACAACCCTTCTGTGGGACTAAGGTTTTCTTTTTTTATCTGCATTCTCCCCGATATAATCAAAAACAACACTGACAACTGATCTCACAAAAGGGAAGTGCATCTTTCGCATTCATTATTTTTTTCTATTCAGAAGTAGATCATTGCGTGATCTGAGGCATATGGTTCAATTGTATTTTACTAATTGGAAAAAGGACAGAAAAAGGGGAATTTGAGGACCAGTATCTTTCTTAAAGTCAAATAAAGAGGAGATTGATAACAAGTAAAAAATTAGATTTGGACAAACTTGGGTTTACCGGCAGTCCAAAAGGTTTGGCACAAATAAAAAAAAAAAAAATTAAACCAATTTCTAAATAATGAATTTATCGCTTTAACTTTTTATACGCTGAATTATTTCCAAATGACGCATCGGTTCCCATCGAAATTTTTTTTCTCACTTATTTTAGACTAATTACTAACAGCTCCGCCAGGCAAAAGCAACTCGTTCAAAATATACTCTCAAACGCGAACAAGCTAATATAATCGATTAATTTCCATCGAATTCGAACGCTTCGGTCCGACGAGATCAACTATATCTTTTGTTTTGTTTTTTCCATTGCACGTTTCCTTTCAATCCACCTTTGGCAAATGTATTGATGGACAACAAAATACCTTTCCTTACCCTGCTAGAGAATTCGCTTAAAGTCGGAATTTTGTTTTCTTGGTTGAATCTGATCGTTTGCTTGCGACGAGGCTGTGTCTAATTTAAATGCGAGCAGCTGTATAGATCTAGCCCCTTTTTTTTCAGCGACTGGAATTAGACATGGGTACCCACAATTTCACTGACATCCATTCCATGCTACTCTCTTTTTTTCTGTGTTTCAAAATGTTAAAAATATCGAACCTTCAATTAATAGCAATTCATGTAACCTACGAATTGAGAATAGGATTATGGATCAAAGCATATTAAATCAGTTTTTGTGTCGACATTGCGCATGCTATTTTCTTC